GGAAGAGCACTTAATTCAGCGCAATTCTTGGAGTCTAACTTACAAAAAGTTTAGCAAGTATTTTCTAAAAGTCACTGATCTTACACAAACATGTGTAACACCATGACTTCTTGATGCATTACGTAGTGATGGCACATAATATGTCAAATTTGAATTGCCAGTACAAAGGAAGTCACAAATTCCCAGGTTCAACAGTAATTAGTTTTCATCAGATGTAGGGAGGAGGGTAGGTTTATGGATGGGTGGGTCAAATAAGCACTTTTACCCATGAGACCGCTGTTCGTGTCCCGTGTGAAACCAAAATAAAATCAGCCTTGACTTATTTTATTGTCCGCTGTGAGGCGATGGGGTTTGCTACAGCCGCTAACTGAAGGTCCGCCTCCCGAAGCGGCCACCCGCCATGCTCCCGGTGCAGTAGTCTCCTGGTGGTGGTGAGGAAAATAAATAAAATACAAGTAATTTTCTCATTTCTGCCACTTTGGATTTAATCCAATAATCAATCAGAACATTCACAGGCCAGAGTTCTGTGAATCTTCAACGACCGGATGTGTCTCTCATTAAACTGAAATTGAATTGCAGGACCTAAATTTGAAATGTGTAAATGTGGAAGTAATAATAAACTTTCAGTGAATATCAAATATAGTTTCAGCAACTTGATTCAACATTCAGTTTTAAGTTGAGGGCTCTAAACTAATGCATTGAATTTTAAATTATGCTATTATGAAATTATTCAAGTTAATACAAATTTAAATAATGTGATTCAAATTGTTTTTTTAATGCAATTAATCAGGTTGAGATATATATATATATATATATATACGCACGCACGCATACAGAGTTTCTAGTGACGGATAATTCTGCGAGGAGGTCTGCATGTGCTCTGTTACTACAGCCTTCACCTAGCGGCAAACAGGGCCTCCCTTTCCACTTTTATTGAATTCGCAATAATAAAATCTTTGCAATTTCCTGTGTCCTGTGTATGTGCCTCACGGAGCGAGGTAGAGATGGGGACTGGGAGACACTTGATAGAGGCAACCGTATTAATTGTGGTTTTTATGAGAACACCTTCAGTCTCTTTCTCCTTGCTTAATAACCTGTCTCCCAGGCAGCTGCTCAATCAACCCTTATCTTTCCTTTCATGTCACAAAGACACACGGCGACCCACTCACGTGCACACATGCACATAAAACTAGTTGATAATCAGATAGAGAGAAAGAAAGGAATACGGAGAGAGATTGTCTAACTCTGCATGATGGGTTGGAGAGTTCAAAGATCTGGCTGCCATCCGGCTGCTTCTGTGTTTGGCCTTCTGATTCTCCCGCCTTCACTTTATACTTTCCTTACTCAGCAGCCAACATCGCAGTAGCTCTACTTTGTCAACGCAGAAGTTGAACAAAATGACACTCGTACTGCGTGTTTCCACATATTTAGTGGAACCGCGCGAGCATACGCTGTTTTTGAATGGACTAGGGTTATGTAAATGATGGGGTACTTACAGCATTTAATGCGTTTTACAGAGTGCTTTTTAGTGTTCTTGTCGATCGGGAGTTATTGAGAGGACCACAGATGGAGTGTGAGTGCGAGTAGCATTTCTCAGGAGTGTAATTTGACTTTTTGCTGTTGGTCCATAACTTATTCTCCTCTCACTTTCCCCACTGTTTTCATCTGCTCCACATAAATCCTCACATTTGTAACCCTTGCTCTCCCTCTCTCACCCTCTCTTCCGTCCTCGTGCCTCTGCCCAGGTGCCTTTTTGCTGCCCTACCTGTTGATGGCCGTGTTCGGAGGCGTCCCTCTATTCTACATGGAGCTGGCTCTCGGCCAGTTCCACCGCAGCGGCTGCATCTCCATCTGGAAACACATCTGCCCCATCTTCAAAGGTAACTGAAGGAGTGGAGAGAAAGCAGAGCCGATGGAGAAATGAGTTAACAGCAATAGCTTGGATTAAAAGGCAAGTAGAGGCCATGAGAGACCAGGGCCCACTAACGGGGAAATTGGCAGTAGCGGAACAAAGCGCTGATAAAGGACAGTGTCAAGCCTTCAGAGCCAGAGAGACGGCTCAGTTAACCTCGTGCTCCCCCTCAGTACAGTTCCCTTGAAGAGCATCCCGAGCCTTTTGTGATATACCAACTCTCTGTTATGGAAATTGTCACATTTCCATGCCAAATGCCAGATGCTCAGAAATGTGATAGTATGTTGGTGGTTGTTGTTCGGAAATGTCACCCACTTACCCCGTAGCAACTTGAATTAGCTTGAAAACACCACTGATGTGTCTTCAGGTAGTGACTGACTGGTGCCATTTTTGTTCCTCAATAAAACGCACTTGGCAGGTTTATGATCAAGAATGTTCACGTTTTCTTTACTGTTTTTGTTTTTGTGCTAACAATAGTTTGTTCCACTCATCCAGGGATCGGCTTTGCCATCTGCATCATATCCCTCTACATAGCCTTCTACTACAACACCATCATGGCCTGGGCATTGTACTATTTGCTATCGTCCTTTCAGCCCACTCTGCCCTGGACCACCTGCACCAACAGCTGGAACACGGTCAACTGTAACCAATACATGTCCACCGACCACAACGTGTCGTGGTCCAACTCCTCCACCTCTCCCGCCGAGGAGTTCTATACGTAAGTGCATGTAAGTCGGATGTAGAGGCGTAAGGGGGGGGGGCGAGCTTCACATGAGGGAGACGTCAAGTGAAGGAGGGAGGATGACTTCCAGAGAGCGATTACAGTATTGGTTCTGGTGTTTTAGATTTACCACCATCCCCCCTTTTTCCATAATTCTCTTGGATGTGTGGTTGTGAAGACATAGCAGCAAGAAGTGATTAGAATCACTGATCTCATCTGAGATGGTTGGAAATACCGGAGTGATACAAGTTACAAAATATGACATATCCTCACACGTCGTACTTATTGTGACGGTTAAATAAAGGTCCACATAAAATGTAATCCTGTGGAAAGGTAGAATTTAGCTGAATCAGAAAAGACAACAGACATAAGATAGCGAGAAGGCAGAAGCTTTATTTGATAGACTTTGGCGCTGACTCTGTCGATTCGATTTATGGGGATAGAGCTCTATAAATAGCAGTTGGCGCTCCGCTTAGTGAGCCACAGACGGGGCCTCAACTCTGAGAAGAAGCTGCGTGATCTCAAATGAAGTCAACGAGATAAAACAGATGCAGTGTTTTAAATATTCTTCAGCTGAGATGATGTTTGGATGATGGGAAAGCCTTCAGAACAAATCCCAAAATCTTTAGTATTAACTTTGCCTGAACAGACAAAATTGCCAACTGTGATTCCATTTTGTCTTCTGTTGACTAGCAAACAGTTTGTGCAAATAGATATTACAACAAACCAGAATGCTCTCTGTTCACTGTAAATAAGCATGCCAATAGATCAACTATCCCTTTAGACATGACCTTTTAAAAACGATTATTTATATTATTCCATGTCTTCCAATCTTTGTCACGCTGCTTTCCCAATAATTAACTCAAAACCACCTAACTCTGTCAACTTGGGTGTTTTCTTAGTTTTTTCACTGCAACATAAAACCTGAGCTGTGTCTTTATTACTCCTGACTGCTTTGACACTCTACTGGCTCGGTCTTATCAGCCGCTCACTCGACCGTGTCTTTGTCTGTCCGCTGAGACAGATTCAGGGTTTATCCGTAGTTGGCTTTTCCTAATACAGGTTTTAAAGAACAAATTCCGCAACTCAGTCTGGCGCCAGAATTTCCTGTTTTCAACATAAATCACGTCTCCGTTTTATCGTCTGAGCTCTGTGTGCTTAACCTATGACCAGATGTTAACCTCACTCATTCATTTCACCCTCCTTCTTTTGTGCCCGCTAATGTTTTTCTCACTTTGGCTCGTGTAAACTTCCATGAAGTCATTCAAGGCTCTCTCGCATCGTCTTTATTTATTCTCCCTATCGCGGTGAACTCTCTCATTACTGCTCATTTAATCAGTATGTATCATGTATGTGTGTACATTATACTTGCCGGGGGTCCATTGTTCTCATACTGTGTGTGTTCAGAGAGTTCATACCCTTATATTTTTGCCTTCCTCTTCCCTCCCCATACCTTTTATTCATCTCCTCTTCCTTGTACCTTTTCTTACCCTCTGATGTGTTTTCTTTATTTCTTGCTGTTCCTTTCTGTATCACATCTCCCTCCATCCGTGTTCTATCCTTTTTGTCTCCTTTCCAAATCTTCCAAACATCCCTTCTACTCACCCCATCTTATTATTATTCACCTTCTTCTCCTGCCCTTGTACCTTCTTCCTTTCCCTACTTTCTTCCACTTTTCCTTGATTTTCATCACTCTAACGTCATCTCACTATATGCAATTGCCTTGTCTCCCTCTTTGCCCCCTCTTCGACCTCATATCTCAATCCTAACCCCCTCCCCCCCCCCCCGCCTCGTTTCCTCCCTCCAGTCGCCAGGTGTTGCAAGTCCACCTCTCCCCAGGTCTGCACCAGCTGGGCTCTGTCAGCTGGCAGCTGGCCCTCTGCCTGTTCTTCATCTTCATCATCATCTACTTCAGCATCTGGAAAGGAGTCAAGACGTCTGGAAAGGTAACCAAAGGGGCGCCTGCATGGCTAATGGGGGTGTCAGTTAGAGTGGATGGATGGATGGATGGATTGACGGAGCCAAAAGAGGCTGAGAAAAACATGGCTGTTCGTCCTCAGTATCATTAATCACCATCATGGATCACCGGATATCAGCCGCTGTGACTGACTAGACTTAAGAGTTTATCAACAGAAACGTGAATTGTTACTTCATCTTTTCTGCATTAGGTAGTTTGGGTGACTGCTACCTTTCCCTACCTGGTCCTCCTGGTGTTGCTCATCCGTGGGGCCACTCTGCCAGGGGCCTGGAGGGGCGTCGTCTTCTATCTCCAACCTGACTGGCAGAAGCTGCTTAGCACTACAGTAAGTCAGTTGGCGCAATCTAGCAAGGCTGTGTCTCATTTTGAAATGTCCGTGTTGCTATTATCTTTGTACAAGCTTCTGATCTTAACATACACTGTGAACCTGACCACACTCTCTCAGGTGTGGATTGATGCAGCAGCTCAGATCTTCTTCTCGCTGGGTCCGGGGTTTGGCGTGCTACTTGCCTTTGCCAGCTACAACCCGTTTCACAACAACTGCTACAAGTGAGAACTTTTCTTGTACAAACCTGTCGGTGTATTTTTCACATTACAATGAAACCTACCTCTGCTTTTCCACCATCCCAAAACTAATAATAACCAGCCTATTGTCCTATTGTTCCAGTAGTCTAGTTTTAATAATTAAGTCTAAATACTCTGCAGTTCTCCCTAACTCTGTTATCTTCCTGCCACCTCAACCTCTCCTTTCTCCACCTCAGAGATGCTTTGGTCACCAGCTCTGTGAACTGCCTGACCAGCTTTCTGTCGGGCTTCGTCATCTTCACCGTGCTGGGCTACATGGCTGAGATGAGGCATCAGGATGTGGATGCTGTGGCCAAGGATGCTGGTAGAAAAACAACACACCAACACAGTCCCAAATACATAAATCTTGACTCGCATTGTTGGGGGGGAAAAAAAACATCCTAGATTGAATTGATCTGAATTTTACATAGGACACGCAGCTACAAAAATACATCTGTGAGGATGACTTCAGAGGAGCTATTTTAAACTGCCTCTCTTTCTCCTCCCCAGGTCCCAGTCTGCTGTTCATCATCTACGCAGAAGCCATAGCAAATATGCCTGCTGCTACTTTCTTTTCCATCATCTTCTTCCTCATGATCATTATGTTGGGTCTGGACAGCACGGTTAGTTTGTTGATTGCTCATTTCAGCTAAATGTTCTTTGCACATGTTCCTCTCTCCTTGCTGTTATCTAGCGGACTCTTTTTGTTGCCCAGGGCTCTTGTGTGCTCTCTCCAACCCAGAAACGGAGGTTTCATATTTGCCTTGTCGTGAAGGCAATTGTCTTCTTCTATTTGACTTGTTGCACTCGTTGCTCCATAGAGGTACCGGGTATTGTTTGTCCTCACTGTTCCATTTTGGATAACAGTCGGCGAAGACATTGTGATGGGACTTTCATATCACTGTTGTGTGGCGATCTTGTCTCCATAAGCCCGTGTTTATCGGCTCCGAGGCAGCCAGCTGGAGAGGGCCGCAGGGCTGTTATCACGTCCTGATAATCAGCGTGAAATCAGCATCGGGGTTGCTATGCTCCTCTGCTTTATGACTGAGGATATTACTACAAAACGTGTCGCTGTGTTTGGACTCGTGTTAGATCGGCTTTAACTTTTTGTCCCTTCATTTTTTTCTCATTGTGCCAAGGAGAGGATACACGAGGCATCTGTGGATGTTTTCCATCAGTGCACTGTGGATTGTCAAAAGAGTGTCCTACTACCGTTGGATCGATGAGATCAAACAGCTGATTAGCAACACGTAACATTGAGATTCTCAAAGCTTGCAGCCGAGGGTGCATGTACAGTAGACTGTCTCCTAGATAGGTTTTCTTCATCGTCTGCCTTCTCTTTTTTCATTCTGCTCCCTCTGATGAGTTCCTCTTCTTGGCGGTCTCCTCTCTCCAGTTTGCAGGGCTGGAGGGGGTGATCACAGCGATGCTCGATGAGTTCCCTCATGCCCTGCCTAAGAGACGAGAGTGGTTTGTCTTGGGCCTGGTGTGCGTGTGCTTCCTCGGGGCTCTCTCCACGCTCACATATGTAAGTTAATAACAACATTAAACACTGGTTACTATCAAAATGGCTCCTATCATGAAAACATCAAATATAATCAATTTAGATTTTAAAAATCTCTCTAATACCACACATGCATCTATAAATTATCTCACCTGACTAAATATTGTGATATCTGCTCCTAATAAGAAACATTACTTCAACACTTCATCTTAAATGTTTCTGCTGTATTTTAAGTAATGTGATGGACCGCAGTTAACAATTAGCCTAACTCCAATTCGAGCAGTAATCTGATAATCAACTCTAAACAAAGTTCCCTGATTGTCTTAGACTGAGTAACTGCATCCGAGTAAGTTGCCGTTCCTCTCTCGTCTCGTCTGCTGTGTCAGGGAGGAGCGTTTGTGGTGAAGCTGTTTGAGGAGTACGCTACAGGCCCCGCAGTCATCACCGTGGTCCTGCTCGAAGTCATCGTCGTCTCCTGGTTCTACGGCAAGTTTTGAGTGATGTTGATTGTGATGGCAATGATGACTTGAGACCTTATTGATGATGACTGCAAAAGTTGGTAGGAGAGGGGTGACGCCATACTGTATTACAGTGTGTTTTTCAGCACAGATTGGGAACTTATGGCACTCTGATATTTGGGACTGTGTAGTGATTTTGTGTGTGTGTGTGTGTGTGTGTGTGTGTGTGTGTGTGTTCCAGGTACCAACCGTTTCTGTAATGACATCAAGCTCATGCTTGGTTTCTCCCCGGGGTTCTTCTGGAGGATCTGCTGGGTGGCCATCTGCCCCTGCTTTCTGCTGGTGAGGCCCGTGTATTTACACATTGAAAGCTAATAAGTCGATGACTGCTGCATTTCTAATGTATCCTGATGTTTGATCCTCGTTCTAGCTGACCTCTGCTTTCCTTCTCGTTCCTGTGTGCAGTTCATCATCATCAGTTTTCTGGCCTTCCCTCCAGAGGTCAGGTTGTTCAACTACAACTTCCCGCCATGGACCACTGTCCTGGGCTACTGCATCGGGGTGTCTTCATTCATCTGTGTGCCTGTTTATATGGTCTACTACTTGCTCCGTGCCAAGGGAACATTCAAACAGGTGCAGCATTTCCTTTCTTTTCCTTTACATGTGCTCAGGTGGTAGAGCCTTTTGCCAACTAATCGGTAGATTGACAGTTCGCTCCTCCGGTCCGTCGAAAGTCTCCTTACTCCCGAAGGCCGTGTGTGTGTGTGTGTGTGTGTGTGTGTGTGTGTGTGTGTGTGTGAGTGTGAGTGAGTGAACAAGCATATGTTTTGATCCTGATGAGCAGGTGGCCCCTTGCATGGCAGCCTTTCCCATCATTTTATAAATGTTTGTAAATGGGCTTAATGTTGGCATATAGTGTAAAGCGCTTTTAGTGGCAAGTAGACCAGAAGGACTAGATGTCAAGTGTGTCATCTATATAGTTTCCCCCATCCTCCCCACGTGTCATCCTCCTTCAACCATATCCCTGCCTGACCTTTGTTCACTTACTGACACCTCTCCAACAACAGGGATTGCCTCTGTTGCTTTCCTTTTCATGCACCGTCAGAGTCGACCCTCTGCAGGGAATACATAATTGGAGATCAGGATCAAAGGAGCACCAAAGGAGGAGGCACAGGCCAAAGATTAAAGCCGAGCCAAAGCCATGACAACTTCCAGGCCCCGTAGAGGCTGAATTAGAGCAGAGCAGGCTTGTGTCATCAACAGCCCTTTAGAATCAGAGCACCTTGCATGACAAACAAGGCGTAGCCAAATCAGCAACATTCATTAAAGTAGTCTTCAAAACGTCTCGAGACAGATTTTAGACATCTGTATATTATGGTGTTGCTGTTTGAGCAAGCAGCCCGACCTAACATTTCCAGGTGTGTATTTGCTCTTTGTAGTATACTCTGAGCTTGTAACTTATATAATGCATACTAATACAAAATGTCTTCATCATATTTATTCATTAGTTTCATTGTTATCTTGTCATGTGCTTTGTTAGAGTTGATATCAAAGAGGCTGGTAGACGGACATCTTTGGCTGTGGTCCAGTGTTGACACTGCTGCCAGGGCCACACAATGACACTGATACACACTGTCAACACACACGGGAGTCGTGTTTCTGTGTGCATGCGAGTGTGAAAGAAGACTGCGCCAGTGTAACTCATGAGGCCAAGCGAGGTCAAAATGTCCGAGTGTCTCTCTGTAGCAAAACTGGGGTTGTTTGTCATCTGGAACATCTGTTCACTTTCCAGTGAACTCACTTTAGATGTACATACTATTCTGAAATGGTTTTGATCAAGTCAGGCGTGTTTGAGATTAGAACCAAAAGGATTTTTCAATCAACACACAAATAATCTCCAAACAATTGCAAACAACAATCTGCGGATAATTGTTAGAATCATAACTAGTTTCCTGATGCCAGGTTCAGATTGACTACGAGCTGTCTGACTAGTCATGTGACTGAATATCTTTGGGTTGGGTTGGACAAAACAAGACGATTAAGAATGTCAAATTAAGCTCTGGGAAATTGCAACAGATATTTTCGATTGTTTCTTTCTTTTTTTTTTTTTTTTTACATCTTTTAAACCTAAACGCTGAATGGACTATTTAGTTGTAGCTGCACCGGCTTAGCCAAACAGACCACAGGCTAACTAGCTGCCGTCCCGCTTACGGGAAGACGCACTCCTTTGTAGTCAGCGCTCGGGAGCGATAATGTCTTCTATCTTCTATCAAATGACAAGCTGAACCGAGACGACAAAATCAAGAAAATAATTATTGTGAATCCCTACTGGACACAAGATTCCAAAGTGAAGCAGTTGTTGATAAGTTGCTGGTTAAGAGTAGTGAGGAGTCAGTAGTCAATCACGGTATGAAATGGTGAATAAAATGTAACCACAAGGTCCTTGAACATAGTCAGAATGAGCACTAAAACAATATTAGGCTGATGGGTCCAATTGTTTGCGAGATTAGCCGTGGACAGACAGACACGCACACGTAAGCACGCACACACACGACCAAAAACATAATCTCCTCAGGCTTACAGGCAGGCAGAGAGAACAATGCATACTGGACAAATTTGGTACATGTTAAATACTCATGTCTACATCAATCCTTGGATATTCTATTTTATTTCAGAGATCTTCAAAATGATTATGGCTCCTGTATCTAATTCACCTGACCAAGACTGAGTCCATCAAAACCTGCTGCAATCACATTAGTGGCACAATAACACAAGAACCTGCTTTGTGGCTGATTCCTTGTCAGTTTCTAGTCAAAGTGTTTGTTTCACTTGTAATTTTCTCACTTCTCTTTCTCTTCATCCGCAGCGTCTGTTAAAGAGCATCACTCCAGAGCCCAGCGGTAACCAATACACAGACTTCATTGTCACAAACGCAGTCTGACCAAACCTCGACCAAAAGAAGGTGTCACTCTAGCCACATAGAGCGCCCTCTTCTGGACAAACTGCAAAACTACAGGACACAAGGGGCTACCTTTCACCATCTTTGCCTCTTTTTCATACATCACTACACTTGTTTTTTAGCCGTCTCACACCAAGATCTAGAACTAGTGGTGGAGTTATGCGGAGCCAGGCTGCAGTAGTTCACTGAGCTTTGTTTAGTTTTCTTCCTTTATGCTGGTTCAGTTCTCCGGTGTTTAAAAACACAAAGCTTAAGCTTCAGTATCGTCAGATCAACATCCTCTCTCTATTTGTCGCCTAAGTCATCTTGTGACCAACCTTTCTTCAGGTTATACAGTTGAAACGAATGTTTTCTACAATAATGGAGTATGATACAGTCTGTGTTCATGTAGACAAATGAACTGCAGAGATCAGTCAAAGAAGGCCAGATAGTTACATTTATATCCTCTCTCTGTCTTTATGGTTGCATTTTCATATTCTGCTGTTAAGTTATGCATTCTAACATGTAGCACTATTCAGGTATCTGTTACTGAAGCCAAATATATGATATCTCTTCTGTTCATATTTCTAAAGATATTCCCATATTTTGACTGTCCTTATGTTGTGTTGACTGTCAGCCTGTGCTTATTTGGTGGCATCTTGGACAGGAGACGTATTTGCAATGAGTTCCCTACACTGTGAAGCACTGTGTGTGTGTGTGTGTGTGTGTGTGTGTGTGTGTGTGTGTGTGTGT